TTTTACAGAAATTACACTGATGTTGCATAATTCAGGGTCTTTTAGTTGAATCAGTATTTGCTGCTCTTTAGCCAATTCAAGTGTGTCCACGCACAAGGGTTTCACTGACTTCAAGTTGAGATTTGAGTTCAGTTGGTGCAGCTTCTGGGTACGGGGAAGTCCACGAGGAAGTCCTAAAGAGTGGCGCCAGCTCCACAGGAGCAATGACAGCTGTTTTCAGCCCGCAGGCAGATGCATAGAGTGCTGGGTGGTTTCAAGTGGGCCTGGATATTTGTTTCTATAGCTGTGCTCCTCCCCAGCTTCCCTACCACGCTAGAGAGACTCGAGCCAGCTGTGTGGGAGGAGATGGAATAGGGATGGGAATAGTAATAGGGTCTAAGGCTTTTGTAAAGCTAAAATGCACTTTTCATAGTGAATCTCTTGTGGTTAATTGGCCTCTTGAAGGCTCAGGTCAAGCATAGTGCCTGTTCTTAACCTGGCAGGGGAAATGCCATGCATCTGTGTCCATGAAGGCAGTTTTCCTAAAGCGTACCCGGGGGGGTACTGCTTTTCTGGTGTGGTTCAGTATCTGCCAAGGTGGAGCGGCTTTAAGTCCACTTTATGGAAATGGGAGGCTCCTCCCTAGCTTGCTCCAAGGGCTGTATGGCTAAGGGCAAGCAAAACTTGGAGGCACCCGAATGCCAAGCCTCCAGGCTTGGGCCTGCAAGTAGGATGCCTGCCAAAGGATTTTGCAAATGTCTGAAGCCCCAGGTGTCGGTGGAGGTTGTTTGCTGATGATAGGACCACTTACGGTTCTGGATTGCCTCACGGGTTTGGAATTGGATTTGGCTATTTTGGCTTGGAACATGGATAAATTTAATTTAAAAAAAATCTCTTGTGGTTAATCTTGGGCTTGAAGGCTCAGATCAAGCATCACCTGTGCTTACCTGGCAGGGAAAATACCGTGACCACCGTGGTAGCTATCTAGTTGCTCCCGGGGAAGACGGCTTTGCTGGCAGGGGATAGTACCCGCATAGGCGATGCATAGTTAACCTTGGCTTTATGCCCACTTTATGGAAACGGGAGACTCCTCCCGAACTTGGTTCTGTGGCTGTACGGTTGAGGGCAAGCAAAACTTGGGGGCATCCAAACCCCAAGCCTCCAGGCTTGGGTCTGCAAGTAGGATGCCCACCAAAGGTTTTGGGAACATCTGAAGCCCTAGATGAGGGGGTTGGAGGATGTTTGCTGGTAGTAGCCACTTCTGGACTGACTCCTGGATTTGGTTCTGGATTGACTCATGGATTTGGAATTGATTTGACCAATTTGGCTGGGAATAAAAAAAAATTAAGAGAATTAAAAAAAAAAAAAAAATCTCTTG